CTTCCCTGTCAGTGCAGTGCATGTACTGCATCACTTTTTTTGTTGTTCTTTATGTACCTGCTCTATATGTCTCAGTTTATTCGAATAATCATGATGTGCCGGGCGATGTCGTGTACGCCCCCGTGCTGTAGGTTCACAGGCAGACTAAAACAGCAAACATTTAAAATAACGCAACTGCATTCAGTGTTTGGAGATTCCTTTGAAAAAAATGTATTCCGACACAGTTACAAATTATCTCTTAAAAATGTAGTTAGTCACGTACTCCAAGTACCATAATATTAAAGTAATGTGACTTCTGCATCTTACTCCTTGTGGGTGGCCATCCTTATTGGCCCCATTGCATGTGGACTGTAACAACGAAAGGTGAAGAATACCATAGATCTATCTGCTGGATCTGGTGGGTCACCACCCCACTTGGCCCCAATGCATGCGGACTCCTAACTTAACATTTTAACGTTAAAACACCATTGCTCAATTTAATCAGTTGCTAAAAGGAAAAACTACCTCTAAGTTTCAAATTTGAGAAAACTAACCTGGTTGTTGCTTTCGGCCAGGTCTTCCACTTCCCCGCCCAGGACCTTCACGTTGCCCGTTCCCAACAGTAGCATCCCAAGCCTGCAGATCATCTGCCCTTGCAGCTGCAGCTTCACACCAGGCCTGGAGGTTGAAAATACTAACCATTATTTGTGTTTCTTTCTTGCCTTATATGACAGTTAGCATGCAAATAAACGTGAAGGTCATTTCACCTAAGAGCAGTGCTCAGTGCAGGTATCGGCTGATACTCCATGGCCTCCAAGCTCTGGACGCCATCTGTCACCTGAGACAAAGTTGCACATTATCATAATCAATCAATTTAAAAGGTCACCCAGATTATAAATGGTCCACTAACCTGCAGCAGGAGCATACGTGTGGGTTTGGCCTCCCAGGGCCTCTGAGTGTTCTGTGTGACAGCTGAAATGTTGTCATTGGCGCAGTCCGTGCCCCTCCATTGCTGCAGCTGTGCATACGCAGGCTGACTGATGTCCTGTAACGAGTCAACCTACAACAGAGAGGGAACGCTCCAGCACAGCACACTGTCCTTTTCATTCTGCTTTTATTTTTGCCTGCTGAGTGATACAATACTGCCCTCAAAAATACTTTGTATTGACATCGAAAGCTCGTATCCTAATGAGAACGTTTACAAAGGTAGTGAATGCTGATTTCTCATCAGGGTTCGTTCAAGGTCCCAAATGTTTGCCAACGGTTTTAATGGTTTTCCTTGTTTTTGTTCTTTTTCAGTTCAAAATTTCCATGCGAGAAGAAAAGCGGTCGGTGACCACGAAAACTGCTGGGGAACATTTGGTGAACGTCTTTTTGTCTACATTCAGTAAACATATTTCCCATTAGGAAACCATGGAAAGTAATTAACCTTTCTTAACCGTACCGAAAATATAAGTAACATGGTGGCATGCTAATGGTCATACACTTGTAAAAATTCAAAGCAAGAAACATCTTAGTGGCTCAAAACAAAAACAACAAAAAAATATTATTCATTGACATATTCCTAAAAATACTATATGGCAACAAATGTCAAATTGGGTGAGTTTAGGTGTG